GTGTGTCCTCTCCGCGCGCGCGGCGGGGCCCCACGCCTCCAACGTGATTGACGTGGTTGCGTCACCTCTGGCGCTTCGGGGGGGGGGCGTTCCCCCCGGGGCACGATTCCGCAGCGGCAGAAATTGGGCCTCCAAAGCGGGGGTTTACCCACCCTCACTTGGCAGCCCTAGGAGGAAGAAGTGCCTGTACAGTGTAGCTAAATAACACTGATACCTTATTTTCAGAAACAGATACCCCAGTGATCCCAGGATGTCTCTGGAGAACAGTGGGGGGCTGCCTGCTGGGAAATGACTGGGCACTGCCCTCTCCAGGTAAGGAAACTTAACTGCTCTTAAGTCTCTGGAACTGTGTGCTTGGATGCAGGCTAACAACTGATAAGAAGACGAGTCCACCAAGGCATGTCCACTGCCATATGGTGGATCAAAGTGTGGATCACTTTGAAAACAGGACAGGGAAGCAAAACATGCTTTATATCTTAGTAAGCAGTTTTAATATACATCAGGTTGAGAAAAAGAAAATCCTAAGAGAAATTGACATCTTGAAGGTCTGTGGATTCCTTCATGCAGGGGAAGGCACTGTAGCTTAACTTGTTATCCCTACCCCTCAAGAAACAGCAGGCAGAAGAAGGCTGCTTTTTAGACCCCACTTTTCTCTATCCTAAAGAGTCTCAAAGTGGCTTAAAATCACATCCTCTCCCCACAAACGGGCACCTTGTGAGATAGGTGGGGCTGAGAGAGTTCTGAGAGAACTGTGACTGGCCCAAGGTCACCAAGCAAGCTTCATGTGGAGGAGAGGGGAATCAAACCTAGTTCTCCAGATTAGAGTCCGCCACTCTTTACCACTACATCATGCTGGCTCTCTGGGCCGCATGGGAGTTCTGGGCCACATGGGAGGGGCTTCAGCATTGACTCACCCCACAGGGCCCAGTGTTCCCAATATTACCAGACATGCATGGGAAATTAGTTGCACTGTAGCAGCTCCCATGCCCACAAAGGTAACATGAGAAGGGGCTCTGTATCAACACAGCCAACAAGTAAATGTATATGCAGGAGTGCACGCATGCAAACATAACTTGGTTTATTCCATTTAAACATGCACTTGACATACATTTGATCTCAATGTCACATTTTCCCTGTCAATTTATATTTCTTTTCAAATTTCAGAGGAGAGGAAAGCACACTACAGGAAAATATCAGCATGTTTGCCATCTATCATCTCTGACTGAAAAATTGCACATGTCATTTTGGAAGATGGAAGGATTGTGGCTGTTAGCAACAGGCAGACCAATATATTGAATATTCAACCCATTCTGTTTCTAGGAAAAATTAATATAGTCATATGATGCCACCACACACTTTACTACAATTGTAAAAATGGGAACAAGATACGTATCTACTGATCTGCATGTGCTTACATTTGAAACACAGCTGCAAAGTTTTGTGCTACATGCATTACATTTCAATTTTTAAAAATCTGCTCTATCTCAGAAAGTGGGGAATCTTGCAATTTGAAAGCAAAATAAAAAAATGCAACTATTTTTAATGTTTTCCAGAGAAAAGCAAGCAAACATTCCTCACAAATCACTTCTGCCCTAACGACATATCCTTTTTATACCCACACCCATGAATATCCCATCTGCCTTCCAACCTTCATGATGCACCATCCTGCTCCCTTAATGTATTACAGGACTTGATATTTATAATGTTGGTTTACTGATTTTTTTACTTTATCATAGTTGGCCATCTTGAATATACACTGGAAAGGTGGGATAGAAATATTTTAAACAACATTTCTATTGGCTCAAAAGTAATTCTTCTATGCTGAAAACATTTTTCTATGATAACAGAGGGGCATACACTCATGATAGATATCAGACACAAATAATCAAAACTCATATCAGACACAAATAATCAAAACTCATAATTTTATTTACTGATTAAAATATTTATGTCCTGCTTTTCCTTGTGGCGGCTTGTAACTCACAATTAAAACATTACAGTTTTAAATTAAAAGAAATTTCTAAAGGGAACATAAGAGAACATAAGAGAACATAAGAGACGCCAATGTTGGATCAGGCCAAAGGCCCATCCAGTCCAACACTCTGTGTCACACAGTGGCCAGAAATAAAATTAGTAGCTATTAAGTCACCTTTTAATAGTGACAGATGATGGTTACAATTTTCAAAATATTTTTAAAAGGCAGCATCTAAAGGGTAACAGCATCAGCAATCTGCTAAACTGGGCTTTGATTCTTGTTAGTTTAACGTTTGTTCTTGAGGACATATTTGATACATGTGGCTACCTAACTAGCTACAGTTGCCTTGTAAACAAGAAATCCCACCACTGAGGTTTGAAGTAAAAATAAATCACCTGTCAAACCTTTCTTCACAGTTCTTGGATTCTTCTTAAATAGTTTTCAGTGCTCTTTATCTGAATAAGTGGGCATGCACACAAAAGCTTATACCCTGAATTAAACTTTTAGCAGGAAATATGCACATGTGAGGAAGAGAAATAACAGGCAAACTAACCAGTCAGGAACAACCCAAACATGCTGAAAAGCATAGCTGTGAGGTGTCCCGCAACTCTACTTTAGATTAAATATGGCAAGATGCTAGCGAAATGCACACATACTTTCTCTATGGAGATGCCTCAGGATACAAAATAGAAAAATACAGACGCCATACAGATGCTCAAGAGTCACATTGAAAAGCAAACCAAAACACTCACCTATGCTAATTTCATCATCTGTTTCAGCATCTCCAATGCACTCAAACTGAAAATCTTGAAGCGACTGGGAAAATTTTTGTACAGCCATTGACAGATCTGTCGTTTTTTTAAAAAAAGAGAGAGAGAAGATGTAAATTATTAAAAATTAATATTGTGGAGAGTATACTTAAGAGCTCAAAGTTTCATGAGACTGCTTTTGCTAGAAGTATTTCCACATGCAATAGACTCAGTTGCAACTTACTTCACAGATATATGTGTATAAGATCATCTTTCGATTGAATTAGAGATGTAAAGTTTCCAAAATATTTGAAACCATTAAAAATTGTTTTCCACTCTAGAAAATAACAGAATATTGGGGTTTTGTGTTTTTTAAAAAAATATTTGCAATACTTTACTGTCCTGAGACAGGAGACAGCGCCAAGTCCTCCACTTCTAACACCTTGGAGATCCACTGGCAGTCAGAGAAGACTGTACTGGCCTCAGGGGTCATTTCGTAGAAAAAGAGGTGCAGGAGCTCATTAGTATAACTCATTAGCATAACTTATTTGCATATGCCACACCCCCTGAAATCACAGGAAGTGTGTCAAAAGGCAACACCCACCGCTCAGGCTCCACTGGACTGTTTTGGATTGCTAGCTATTGGGGGGGGGGACATGCAGATCTGTCCTCGCAGAGGAGGGAGAGCTTGTACCTGAATAAAACCTGATCTTAAAGGTGCCACTGGACTGTTTTGGAACGGGGTGGCCAGGGGAGAGCTCTGCAACGTACCTGGCTGCTTCTTGCTCTGACTGAGGGCTGCTGGGAGCAGGGGGTGGGCTCTTTACTGCTGGAGCTCCGCTCCTGTGTGCTCCTGCAGGAAATGACCCCTGACTGGCCTACAAGAGGTCAATAGCCTGATCGTTATAAGGCAGTGTTCACCCCCAAGGCTTGGAAGGCTGCATACCTGCTGTAAATACATACCAGAAGTGGCAAAACTTCATTATACTTGAATTGTGGAGTACCAGCTTGGGAACCACCACTGTTTGAGGTGAAAGGGCACCTCTCCCATGCTACTCCATATCATGTAACATGGGGGCATGTCTCTGCTACCCTAAACCTGGGGACTGTAGTCGAGCGTGCAAAAATAAAGGGAGAGAAATAGATCGTTTAGCAGATTGTTGCCTCTTTGATGGGCACAATCTTCTCTTCTGCCCTCCCATGCTACAAAATTACCCTTGAGAACTCTCCATCCCATGCAAATTCATCCAACTGACAAGTGTCTATGAGCAGCATTCTCTGCATTTACAAGTCTTGACAAACACATGGAAAACTGAATTAAAGTTATTAAAAGCAGGAGCTCATCTGGTAGCCTAAACATACTGAGCTACTGTACAGTCTTTAGATTTTACGTATTAATATGTGTTCTATTACTAGACGCATGGAATTCGACACACTCTTGGTGAATGCTCAGCACAGACTTGGTGGCTGCTTCCTATTCCTAGATGTACAAAAACATTTATTGCAGGAATCATGCGTCATTTTACTTTAGCAGCTGTACATTGCATGCCCCAAAACAGCCAATGAAGTTGGGAGTGTGAAGAGACCTGTTGATCTGAATAAGTGGTTTTCTAACTGTTTTCTGAAGATGACTGGGCTTCTACTAGGAAGGGTTTGTCGAAGGAGGAGGAGGAGAAGGAGTTGGTTTAATACTCTGCTCTTCATGACCCAAAGGAGTCTTGGAGCATCTTAGAATTGCCTTCCCTTCCTCTCCCCACAACAGACACCCTGTGTGGTAGGTGGGCCTGAGAGCTCTGAGAAAACTGTGACTGATCCTAGGCTACCCAGCTGGCTTCTTGTGGAGGAGTGGGGAATCAAACCTGGTTCTCCAGATTAGAGTCTGCCACTCTTCACCACTACACCAAGCTGGCTCCCAATGAGAAAGTCCACAATGGTGGACAAACTTTCCTGGGAGAGTTGCAAGCCCATCATTATTGCTGGGAGTTCACACAGGGGAGCCCAACAGGTCCAACAAGCACTCTTTGTGAATCAAAGGAGCATTACTAGAAGATGCACAAGAGTAGTCTGCAACATGTAGAGGGCATTATAGGGGACACAAAGGGATTCTGTGTGGAGAATTGCTGGAGATATGAGGGCGAACCCTGGGGAGGGTCCGCCCCCATATACCTCAGCAAGGTATAACACCAAAGAGTCCACCCTCCAAAGTAGCGGTTTTCTCCAGGGGAAAGGATCTCTGTAGCCTGGAGATCAGCTGTAATTCTCGGAGATTCTCCAGGGTCCACCTGGAGGTTGGCAAACCTAGTGGAGAAAGGCTTCCAAGTGCCTGAAACTTCTTAATAAACAGAAAAAACAGTGTATTCACAAGGCAGAGTTTAGGGGGGAAAGTTATTTGATACATTTTTCTTGATTTTTTAAAAAAAACCAAAAATGCTTCTTTTTTATGGTTACAAAGAGCCAAAAAATACTAAAAAAGAATTTTAAAAACCTAGTGCATTTACACCACACCAAGGGGGGGAAATGATGCTACATCAATATGTTGCATGATCTACGGCCTCTAATACAGCAACTAGTCCCAATTGTAACTATGCACATCATAAGATGCATCCAGACCTTTCATTAGGTCTTGGATGAGTATTTTAAGTAGATGCTGATATAGTTCCAGATGCATATTGATATAATGAATGGCTTTTTCTTGAGCTTCCCTGAGAAAGCTTTCCTGACCTTTCAGGGCACATAAAATGAAAGAACGGCACAGGGAGAGGGTTTAAAACAATTGGGTTTCTGAGCCACAATTACTTCATTGTTCACTTAATACATATTTTATAGGTAACTAATTCTTAAGACACTGTGGAAGTCTGCAATGCATGAAGAAAGAAAAACAATCTTTCCATGAAATCTTGACTTTGAATGCGCAATGCCCCATTGCGTTGAGATAAACAGAAAGGGTTGCATCCAATGCTCCCTCTAACCTGTGAGGTCTTCTGAGCATATATTCTACTTTGTGAGCTCCTGGCGTTCAAGTTGTGAGCGAGTGGTTTGGCCACTGCGTAGGTTGGTTTGCTCTGGAGCCCTCCTTCCTGAGCTGGAAAATGTGTGAGCTGGAGGCTAAAAAACTGTGAGCTAGCTCACACTAACTCAGCTTAGAGGGAACACCGGTTGCATCCTATAAGCTATCTTCTGCCAGAGAAAAGGTCCTCTTCTGGTGGAAAGCTCTCCACTTAGCTGAGATGAGCCAAGGAAGATGCTGCAATATTGGTGTAATATGCCTCGACCTGGATGGCCAGAGCTAGTCAAATCTTGAAAGCTAACCGGGGTCAGCCCTGGCTACTATTTGGATGGGAGACCTCTGTAAGTCTCTTGCCTTGAAAAACCACAACTCAGCTGTGACTTAAGTACATAAGAACATAAGAGACGCCAATGTTGGATCAGGCCAAAGGCCCATCTAGTCCAACACTGCTCCATATGCTTATCTAATTCCCTTTTGAAGCCGTCCATGCTTGTAGCCGCCACCACTTCCTGTGGCAGTGAATTCCAAGTGTTAATCACTCTTTGGGTGAAGAAGTACTTCCTTTTATCCGTTCTAACCCGACCGCTCAGCAATTTCATGGAGTGCCCACGGGTTCTTGTATTGTGAGAAAGGGAGAAAAGTACCTCTTTCTTTACCTGCTCTTTCCCATGCATAATCTTATAAACCTCGATCATGTCACCCCTCAGTCGTCTTTTCTCCAAGCTAAAGAGCCCTAAGCGCTTTAACCTTTCCTCATAGGGAAAGTGTTCCAACCCTTTTATCATTCGAGTTGCCCTTTTCTGCACTTTTTCCAAAGCTATAATATCCTTTTTAAGGTGTGGTGCCCAGAACTGCACACAGTATTCCAAATGAGGTCTCACCATTGATTTATATAGGGGCATTATGATATTGGCTGATCTGTTTTCAATACCCTTCCTAATAATCCCCAGCATAGCATTGGCCTTTTTTATTGCAGTCACACACTGTCTCGACATTTTCAGTAAGTTATCTACTACAACTCCAAGATCTCTCTCTTGATCAGTCTCTGCCAGTTCAGACCCCATCAATGTGTATTTATATTTAGGATTTTTGGCTCCAATGTGCATCACCTTGCACTTGGCCACATTGAACCCCATTTGCCATGTTGACGCCCACTTGCCCATCCTTGACAGATCCCTTTGGAGTGCCTCACAATCCTCACTGGTTTTCACCACCCTGAACAACTTCGTATCATCCGCAAATTTAGCCACTTCACTGCTTACTCCCAACCCCAAATCATTAATGAACAAGCTAAAAAGCAGTGGACCAAGTACTGATCCCTGCGGTACCCCACTGCTTACCTCCCTCCACTGAGAAAATTGCCCATTTATACTCACTCTCTGTTTTCTATTAATTAGCCAGTTTTTGATCCATAAAAGGACTTGTCCTTTTATCCCATGATTTTTGAGCTTACTTAGGAGCCTTTGATGAGGAACTTTATCAAAAGCTTTCTGGAAGTCAAGGTAAACAATATCTATTGGATCCCCCTTGTCCACATGTTTGTTCACCCCCTCAAAGAACATTAACAGGTTAGTGAGACAAGATCTTCCCTTGCAGAACCCATGCTGAGTCTACCTCAATAGGTTTTGTTCATCTATGTGCCTACTAATTCTTTCCTTAATAATGGCATGATGGCACTTTTTTACACACACACACACACGCACACTCAAAAGCCCTAGACGCTATTACTGCTGTTGCATTCTACACCAATTTAAGTTTCCAAACGCTCTTCAATGGCAATCCCATGTAGAGGAAAGCATAAGAATCTAACCTGCATATGGTTATGGCTGCACTCCTAAACATACTTATCAGGAAGCAAATCCTATTTAACTCAATAATCGGTATACATGCTTAGAATTGCGTTGCATGACAACTGTAACGGCATCAAGATATACCTTCTCCAGGAAAATACACAGTTGGCACACCAGCTTAAGATGAGTAAAGGTATAACAGACTATAGCACCCACCCCCAATCATAGCCAACAACTTGTCCAGGAATATACTCAAACTGCGAGAGTGCTAATTCTTCCAAGGTAGCTAAAGCATCTAGGTG